GAGCCTTTTATATTTCATATTACTCTATTCGAGTAATTATAGCGTTCCCTTCAGTGAGGAGATTTTACTTTCTTCACCAGCAGCGTCCTCGAGTCAATGTCATTTAAGTGCCACACAAGATCTTGGTCGCGCTTAGGTTTTGCCATTTAGAAATTTCAAAAGTCCTAACAAAAATCCTGATATTTCGAAAAAAGTCCGGACTTTTTAATCACAAAATTGTACCATTACTCACTTAGTTGCAATGGTATGGTATTTAAATCAATATGTACTTTGATTATTCATATTCAATGTAATTTAAATAATCCGGACATTTTAAAGATCCGGGCAAAGTCTGGACTATAGTCTAAAAGTCCGGACTAATCCGGACGGATGGCACCCTAGTCGCACTGGATACATATCAAAGATGAGTACAGAACAATAAGCTTTATACTTTTTACTTTCTCACCATTGCGTACCTATACTGCTATTTGGTGCAAAACGAAATAGGTAGGTATTATACTTTATATTTTTTGTTTTTTAAGAATACATAGTATGAAAAAACATACAGGCAACGATACATGACGTATAAAGACAAGTAGATTCCCAATTGCCCGACAAAAGTGCCTCAAAAAACCTCCGAGCGGCTTTGTGTAAACATTATACTTCAACTTATACAGATAACATCTTTATATATAATAAAATGGTAGGAAAGACAAAACTGTACATTGAATATTTTTTTAAAAAAATAATTGGGGTGTGAGCTACAATCGATACCGAAGCCAAAAAAAATTTTTTTTTTTAATTTTTGTCTGTTTGTATGTATGTCCAGGATAAACTCAAAAAGTGCTGCATGAATTTACTTCAAATTTGGCACGAATATTATTATAGAGTCGGGTCAACATATAGGCTACATATTATCACGCTTTCACCAACGAGGATTGAGCAGTGAACCTTTATTTCTAACTAACTTCACGCATATGAACTCGCGGGCGGTCGCTAGTCAACAATTAGTACAAATTAACACGTTATATCGTGGCAGTAAGGTTCAATGTCAATTGTATACAAGAGAGAGAAAGAGAGGATTACGGTGCGAGAAAGACACAAGATCACGTGCCGCGCGGAGTGCACACGCGGAAGGTAGCTTTGCTGTACCTTTTAAAATGTAATTTATTTGTAATGCGATTGAAAACGCCAAGATAGTCGCGTAATTTTGTTAGTACAAAGGGACGCTTGAAATACGTCACTCCAAGCTTTTTAATTGTAAATCAGGTCATTTGCACAGTTTTAAAGGTTCACTATGTCATTGCGTGACGTATACGTAATGTACATATAATTTTGCTTCCGACACTGAGTGCGATTGTGCGTCTACTTGTTTTAATACGTTAATGTAGGGTTATGAATATCTTAATATTTTTTTCGATTATACATTATACAGTTATCAACACAACAAAGTGCTAAATTTTGTCAATAAAGCCCAAAATTCGCTGGAGTAACTTGGCAGTTTTGGCTAATGCGACTGAATTTAGAACGTCAAAATAACTGATTAAAGTGAACAAAAAATGGCTGTAAATCTAAGTCTACCTACCTCCTCTGTTTTGAAGTACACATGTTATTATTATTAACTTGTATTAATTATATTACTTGTAAGTATTTTGTAAATGTTAATAAACTATATCAGCATTTGTACTTTGTTGTTTTTCTTTAATTTATATGCATTACTTAAAGGTTCAAGCAGACATCGGCACCGAGGCGCCACACTTCGGCCGCGACGGCGCTGTGTGACGTATTTCATAATAACTGATACATTACAACTGTTTATATCGAGCCAGGGTCACGTTGTCGTCCCGCCCCGCCCGATGTCTGAATGAACCTTTAATGTGATTTTATGTACCTCTTATTCATGATCTAGCTGGCCTGATTCTGGTTTAATACTCAAAATGTAAAACCAAATGTGAAAGCAGTTAGTACTTATATTATCATTATCATGCTATAAAGAAAATGAAAGGAAAGACCACCATGCAAGTTATATAATAATCATCATCAGCCTATTAATGTCCCTATGAATGGAATAGGGAGATTGGGTCATGCGGGCCCAGTGCGGATTGGCCGGTGCTAACAGATGCAGCCGGTACCAACGACGTACCTTCCGAAGCACGGAGGAACCTGAGATATAAGATTTTTGGTCACCTATCCAATGACTGACCACTGCGAACGTTGCTTAACTTCAACGATCGCAGCCGAACGCGCTAACTACCTGCGCCACAAGGGCGGATCCAGCTTTGGCGCGGGGGCCACGACATAATATATATCTCATTTTCGATCATAGTGGCACATAAGCGATTTTGCCTTTTACTGTCGTTAAGAAACTTCAATTTTAGACTGGGAACTAAGGTAAAAAAAACATGGATGCATGCTCATATTATGGCTAGGCGTAGTAAAACTACTATTTACTAGTACAGCTTTAAAAAAAATGTCGATCGGATGAAGGAGGATCGAAAACTAAAATATTTTCAGATGCGAAGATAGTTTGTGAAGCGGGGGGGGGTCATATAGCCGTGGTCAAGTCACAGTGGGTACAGATTGTGTAATACAGATTTTGGTGTGGGTACAGATGGACCCAGCCCAGGGGGGGTCATGACCCCCGTGACCCCCCCTCTGGATCCGCCCTTGCTGCGCCATCGAACCTATATTACTCATTACAATATTTCGTAAAGAATCAATAATTACATTGATGCCATGGCAACTTTGTTCAATGTCCCAGGTTCACAGAGGCCTACAATTCTCGGGAGGTTATGGACCTTAATGATATTATATCGTACCTCCCACAAGGTTACTTCCCACTAATACATGGTAGTATTGACCTAAGGTGTAGCCTAGACTACTAATAAAAATGTATCTGTATCTTCAAGTGTCAAAATCAACCAAGTTCATATCATGATACATTTGTGCACCTCTTCTGATGTCTTACCCCGTTATTAATAAACGAGTAATGAGTTTAGACTAGTTACACCGTGTTTTGTTACTATCACTCAAATGCCATTTGTCATTCAATGAACAAAGACAAAACATGGAGTAACTAATCCATGTTTATTCTTTGTTTATTAATAAAGGGGTATGTGTCGAGCTTGGCGAAATCCACAAAAGTGCACCGCCATTTTCCAAAAAGAAGAACAAGAATGTCTTAGTGTCTCCACACACGGGTCACCGACCACAAGCACAAAACGCCGCGGAGGCGGCATAGTTCTTGTAGTTTTCATACATTTTATATGGACTTGCCACACACAGTACGCCCGTGGCCGCCACAAGCTACAAATCGTCGTTGCTCGCTTCTTGTGGCCCGCACTGGAAATTTAATGCGCCGATACAACACGCCGCCACACGTCACTCGCGCGATTCCCCACCCCTCTCTCCCTTGCCTTAGTCGGCCGCTGTCGCGCGCTTCAGCCACTTTAGTAGCCGTTTCTAGCTTCTCGTGGCGGCGTTTGTGGTTGTGGCGTGTGGCCCGTGTGCTTCGACACTTTATGTTATTAGTGTGGGTAGTTCGGACTGAAGCGCAATAAAAGGGAAATAAAAAAACTGCAATTGATAATAAGTAAATTTATTTTGTATATTTTGGTCTGTTTTACAACATCGAGAATATGTTAAAAAGATACCTCTAATCATGCATTTAGTTCGATATCAAATCAAATACTCAGTGGAAGTTTCTTAATAGGTACCTAGTTTATTTGTTAACAATACTTAATGAATGAAATAGAAAATGTGATATTACTTATTGGTTTAACCTGTACTCAATTAGGGTCACTTATAATATATAAGCAATTATCGTAAGTATATTGTTTTTATAGTACCTAATATAAGTTATTTACGGGCTTGTTTTTAGCGAGTTTCCGATATTTCGGCACTGTTGCAAGCGCCATAATCACGGAGAAACTGACTAAAAACTAGGAACATGGTAACAGTCCCGTTAATAACTGATATTACTATAATGTTAGTGACCGTGAAAGTTCAAAACAATATATATAGTCTCAGGTACAAAAAAGAGAAAATAGTTTTTATTAATTTGATAGTTTGTGGGTAAGTAATTGGCTGTCGGCCGTGTTGCTCTTTGGTGATTAGGTACTTAATTCGATGTAAATTATGTTAGTTTGTTCAACATCACAGTAAACTTATGATATTGTCAAGGTTTAAAAAAACAATTAGACAAAAAGTATTACATTCTATTGATTATATTATTATAAAAGTCTGATAAAATTGCATTATAATATAATATCGGGGATATGTTTTATAAATTCAGATTAAATATTATGTTATTCTTAAATTTTATTTTTCAAGAAATTGTAGTAAAATTAGTATTTACATTTACAATATTAACATGATTATGTTGATGACACTGTTCTATCGGTGATCATTTACCATCAGGAGAGCCGTCGGCTCGTATGCCCCCTATAATATAAAAAAAATATATATATTTATAGTAAATACAATATTTTTGGATCTAAATACATATATGGTCAAAGCTAGTTTAAAGGTTTAATAATTAACTTTGTGGTTTTTTTTACAAAAATTAAAGTTATGCCCTGATGGCGCTAGACAAGCTACATCCTTAAGTTAAACAAGTTTACTTTCTAATAAAGCTCAAATATTGGAAAATTTACAAGATTCGTAAAATTGCAATAGTAGTTATCATGAGGCCGTAATTAATTAGATGGAAATCTCTTACTAACTACGATTTTATATGATAAATAACAAACGAGTGACGCCGGGGCCATCTTTATATTGGAATGAACGCTCACAAAAATTTTAAAAGTAAGAAATTACCTAATCCATGAAATTATCTGTGCCAAACTTTTCAATATGAAACTTTCAGTTATTACACAGGGTAAAGGTTCTGTCCAGCAGTTAGATTAGCATAAAATAATGAAAACACATTTTTTTCTTTTGTCAATCACAAAGATAATGCCAATCAAAGTTCAGAAATGGGAGCTCGTGACGTCACTTCTAAGTAAAAATTGTACTTAGACGTGACGCCGTGCGTCCTTTCAAATCAGTAAAATAGATATTTCTGTAATGTTTTGATTATGTGAAAAGAGAAACATACGTATCCAATAATCTTTGATAAATCTACAGAAATCATCAACCCTATTCCACAAATCAAATGTTTTATACACATCAAGCTTACAAAAAGCAATTCCATTGTTGATAGTTTATTTCTAAAACCACTTATCGACTCAAAGCAAAATAAATGGTCCTTCGAGCATTTCTAGCTCAGCAATGTAATGAGCCTAGGATTAGCATACCCATAACCTTTGCCCTAATTAAGTATTAAAGCTAGCTAAGCTAAGTATCTTAACAATAATTTATTATTATGAAAAGTAAAGTAAGTATTACTGACTGATTTTGTCTGTTGCGGGACGTATCTTTAATATTAAATGGATTGACTTATCTGAAAGTTCGGTGATTTGAAGACACACAGATTTTTAAACTCTCCGGATACACAAAGCATTTAGTTCACCGTGTTATTTATATAACCTCTACTTAATTGGCTTTTATAAATAGGTCCTTTGGCTTGATATGTAAATTGTAATGCACCTTAATATATAAGTAAAGAATGCCACAGATCAAGTTATCCAAAACTGAATTTGCATTTACCTTGCTTCTTGGGAGATTTATAATCAGAGAAAAATTGTCACTGGGAACTTCACTTCATGTGTTGCCTATATATTAATGCTGTATTGTATTACGTTGGTTTGCTCCAATTTCAGTTTCCCGTAACAGACAAAAATCTACTTTATTCAATTGCAATAAGGTTAAGCAGAAGAAGCGTTTCAGTTAGCCGCTACAGCTCTAGGGAGGGGTATCTCTGTGCCTTCAGTTGCATCTTCGTCTTCATCATCGTCACAAGCGTCTTCGGGCTCTCCTAATGCTCTCACAAATTCTGTAACCAGGAATAAAAGTATAATTTGAATCATCATTAGCCTATTGATACCTCCACTGCTGTGCGGCCGAATTAAAGGCAAATCGGAAATGAAAATAGTAATAACTAGTTAATATTAAGCCCACCAACTTGAGGAGCTCGATGGCGCGTGGTTAGCGCGTTCTGCTGCGATTGTTGAAGTTAAGCAACTTTCGCAATGGTCGGTTATGGATGGGTGACCAAAAATCTTCTATCTCGTCCCGGCTGCATCTGCAGTCGTTAGCATCCGCCTATCCCCATTGGGCCCGCGTGGTGTGTCGTGGCCCAATCTCCCTATTCCATCCATAGAGTGGGGACATTAATAGGCTGATGATGATGATGATTAAGCCCACATTTCGAATGTTTCTCTACCTTTTCTGAGTTCTATTTAAATACATAGTTCAAGACTCACATCCGTATAGAAGTATTGGCCAGACACCAATGTAGGTGCCGATAATTAGATTTTCTAAAATGGATAAAAAAATCCAATAATGGGTCTCCTCCCTGTTCTCGGTCGCGTTCAAAAACCAAGAGGGTACGACTAGGCACATTAAGTTTCTCCTTGCGTATTTCCTTTAATTAACAACATAGCGGGAAGAGATTTAAGTAAAAAGGTTTACCTAATGTTTCAGAATCTTTCCTGTTATCTTATTTATAAAATTCTCGTGTCACAATGTTAGTTACCATACTCCCCCGAAACGGCTTGACTGATTTTTATGAATTATTATTTTATTTTTTTATAATGTGGCATTAAAAAATATATACAACCCTAAATTTTCACCCATCTACCACCAATATTATTATGGCGATACGAAGTTCGCTGGGTCAGCTAGTTTTGATATAAAGAGCGAAGTTGCAAACTACGAGTCCTACGAGTAATTCGTGAGCCGGTGGTCAACTGACAAAGCACACAGAATCTAAAGAAATATATTAAAAAAATCTCACCTAAGAAATCAATCCTGCCATCGCCGTCCGAGTCGACTTCTTTTATCATGTCCTCAACTAAAAAAAAAGCACAATTTTGTTAATATTGAATAACAAGAAGCGTGGCAAATAAGCATACGGCCCTCCTGATAGAAAGCAGTCTGAGAGTTTTTTGTCTGGGACATGCCGTACGCTGGGGGAGCGAGAAGGTATGTGGAACTCGCTGCCACGCCCGAAAGTGTGAAGTCGTATTGTCAACCGAGTTTTTAGAAACCCAATCAAGCAACTCACGGCGGATTTAGCTTCGATGTTTGAAATAAGGTCTTACAGAATTGCACTGCTGCTCATTACAGCCAACCCTTGGGCCGGGTGAAATGAGTAGGGTCCTACCTAAAGCCCTGAACAGGGCCAATAAAAACTAGACAATACTCCTGCACCGGTCGCCCGGCGTACATTCGGTCTAGTACCCGTTGGACCCTCAAGTGTACATTCTGAGGACCGCAGTCCCGCCAATGCACGCCGAGAGTGAGGGTGTAGTTACGGCTACCGTTGCCGCCAGTCCGCAAGCCTATTAAACGTTTGCGATACCAAAAATATCACTCGCCGTTTCCTACCCTGACTCAATCCGCTTCCCCATGAAAATTAACTAATTAATTAAAATTAATTAGCCCTAGAACCTTCCTCACCGACAAAAACACGACTACACCAAAAGGTAGTGTCAAAGGAGCCCAGATTGTAGGAACCAGGGAACATGTGCACGGTCAAAGAATTCCACTTGCGAATTTTAGGTACGACGAAGAAATGGGTCAAGGATATGGATGGACTCACTCTCCTCGGACAAGTCTTCCTTGAGCCACTGTAGCAACAAAGTGTATGTAGCTGCGGTTGAGTTTATATAGAGGGGTCTTACCCAATAAACCGCAAACTCCCGTTAGGCCGTTTTTTTTGCGTTAGAACCTACTATAAAAATTGAAAAAAATCGGTAGGTAGATCAATTTTCAAATTATGGCGTAACCAAGGCAAATAGGGATTCCTTATAAAGCAGTGGTTTTTAACCTTTAAGTGACGAGGGACCATTTATGAAAATCTCTGTCCTGCCACGGACCACCATTTACGATTTGCACCCCTAGAATTTGTAAGTCAATCAGCGTTCTAATTTATGTAATATTTTTTAGATTGGCTTCGCAGACCGCTTAGATTGCTTCCAGGGTCAGAAAACAATATATCTTTATTCAAATTGGATGTATAGTACAACTGTTTTGGTCCACCGGTGGTCCGCAGACCACCGGTTAAGGACCACTGCTATATGGGTAAGAAGTATTTATTTAAGTAGTTGGAAGCGCAGATGTAGTCGCAGATGTATTTGTATAGTAATTTCTTACGCAAAAAAAAGCTGACTCGCATTTAGCCAAAAAAAGATGTTTGAAATCGGTTGGTAAAATCGTTGTCAAATTACGGCGTGGCCAAGGAAATAGGGGATCTTAGGATAGATATGGGTGGACTCACTCTCCTCCTCGGACAGGTCTTCCCCGAGGCACTGCAGTACGGCGCGCAGGTCGGAAGCACAGATATAGCCGCGGTTGTGTTTGTCGAACACCCGGAACGCGTCGCGTAGTTCTCGCTCCTCTTGCTCCGCGGAGCTGGTGCCGCCGCCCGCGCCGGACATCGACTTCGATAGGATGCTCACGAACTCCTCGAAGCTCACGTTACCGTCGCCTGCGGTGATAATTTTAGAAAGATATATAGATAGATAAAGAACTGATTATTTGTCCTAAACCCGTGCCTAATCTTTTTGGAACGAAAGTTCCTTACGGCAGGCTTGGAGGGGATAGGGATTTTGCTGCGCGACCGAACTGAAAAAAATGTGATAGTAAAACCGTAAGAAAAAATGCGTGGAATAAAACCGTTAAATGAGACGTGCGCAGGCGCGACGAAGTTCCTTACGGCAGGCTTGGAGGGGATAGGGATTTTGCTGCGCGACCGAACTGAAAAAAATGTGATAGTAAAACCGTAAGAAAAAATGCGTGGAATAAAACCATTGAATGAGACGTGCGCATAGGGGGTGGTAGAGCGACGAGGGTGCATCACTGAAATATTGTGATATTACACCAACACTGAATATGTGTGAAGTTATAAGGGGTGGTAGAGCGACGAGGGTGCATCACTGAAATATTGTGATATTACACCAACACTGAATATGTGTGAAGTTATAGGGGGTGGTAGAGCGACGAGGGTGCATCACTGAAATATTACACCAACACTGGATATTTGTGAAGTTATATCAAGCTGTGGACCGGTAACGCCTGTGAGACATGATTATGATTACAAGGTGAGTACTTATCAGGAGGTGGCAGAGCGACGGGGGTGCACCACTGGATTATTGTGACATTGCAGTTTATTCTAAACTGTGGGCCAGTCCTGCCTAGCATCCTTTACGAACGCTAGCGGGACATGATAATAAGGTGCGTATGTAGGGGGTGGCACAGCTACGAGGGTGCAGCACTGGAATATTGTGACATTACACGAAATCTGGATATTTGTGACGTTATACCGAGCTGTGGACCAGGAACGCCTATCATCTGCTGTAAACTTAAGCTAGACATGATAACAAGGTCAGTACTTAACAGGGGGTGACAGAGCGACGGGGGTGCAACCCCAAATTATTGTGGCATTATACCAACACTGGATTATTGTCGTATATTATACTAAACTGTGCTTAAGTCCAGGGGGTGGCAGAGCGACGGGGCTGCATTACTGGATTATTGTGACATTGTAGTTTATTATAATCTGTGGGCCAGTCCTGCCTAGCAATCTTTACGAACACTAGCTGACCGAACTGAAAAAAATGTGAAAATGTGATAGTAAAACCGTAAGAAAAAATCCGTGGAAAAAAGTGCGTGGAATAAAACCGTTAAATGAGACGTGCGCAGGCGCGACGAAGTTCCTTACGGCAGGCTTGGAGGGGATAGGGATTTTGCTGCGAGACCGAACTGAAAAAAATGTGATAGTAAAACCGTAAGAAAAAATCCGTGGAAAAAAGTCCGTTAAATGAGACGTGCGCAGGCGCGACAGTCGCGTACACAAGCGAGTTTGCAATTTGTGTCGATTCTACATTAGCCGAAGGAACTTCGTTCCTACCTGGTGTCCCACGACACCACATCATTTTTGAAATTTTTATCTCTTGTAACATCGAACGAGCGAGCTATGATCTACCACCAGTGCCCGGATTAAAAGTGCTAACGACTGCAGGACGTTTAACGTGCCTTCTGAAGCACAGAGGATCTCGATATAATAAATTATTGACAACCCATCCTATGACCCACCATTGCGTGGCCTACTTGATAGCTGACCTAACGCGCTAACTACTACGCCATCGATCTCCTTAACGACAATGTTGCGCCTGCAATAAATTGTCTCAGAAAGGAGAATTATCTTCCATCGCTGTCGGCTTCCTGCAGCGCCTCTACGCGCGCGAATTGCCCCAGGCTGCGCATCACGCGGCCCAGCTCCTGTTCAGTGATGGTGCCATCAGAAAGAAGTAAGGAGGTTCTCTCACCATCGCTTTCTACCTCTTGCAGCATATCCTGAAGCTCTTTCACGCGCGTGAACTGCCCCAAGCGGCGCATCACACGGCCCAGCCTCTCTTTAGTAATGGTGTCGTCAGAAAGAAATAAGGAGTTTCTCTCACCATCGCTGTCGACTTCCTGCAGCATATCCTGCAGTTCCTCCACGCGCGCGAACTGCCCCAGGCTGCGCATCACGCGGCCCAGCTCCTCCTTGGTGATGGTGCCGTCGCCGTCCTTGTCGAACAAACGGAACGCTTCACGGAACTCTGTAGATAAGCCAGGTAACTTTATCAGTACCATACCTATCCCAGATTTATTCTCTTTATTTTTAAGGACTTTAGTATTACATTTATACATGTCAGTCCCATCGGGACTGTAGGATATTACGTTTAAAATTAAAATCCACATATTTTTTCAAATTATAAATTTAATTGCTCGTATTTGAAAAGCATAAAATCTTCTTCGGAAGTGAGTTCTGAAAGAGAATAATGGAATATCCCAGCATCTTCTTTATTGGTTTTCAAATTCGCAAATAATTTGCCCCTCAGATCCCGATTCCGTACACATTCCAGCAACAAATGTTGAACATCGTCAGTTTTATCACAATCTGTAATATCGTAGAAAAATCGGACTAGACCTAGTCAAACTAAGTATAATTCAGAGAAGAATATATATTTCTAGACACATCTATCGGCCCACCTAGCATTTTAAGTTATAATATGATGGTCCATACCTAAAAATTTTACATTGAACAAATAGTTTTTACGTAGTTTTGAAGCAGATTTATTAATCATCCATTTCGTATGTTTTTAATAACATATTATTATTGCATAACCTAACATATATTTTTGCTATTGATCATTGGAATGTGTAATTTACTACATTTGGTAAACTACCTGTACCTACCTAGTAAATAGGCCATGTACTTATCATTCTACAATCTCTATACATATCTTAAGAACTATGACGTCATGAAAGCAACTTTAACCAATAATTGAATTTTGTGAAGCTTTCATATAATACCCAATAATAGTTTTTAATAGTTTTTTTTCCAATACACACCAATTATCCTAGCACCAAAGTAAGCACTGTAGGCTTGTGTGGGTTGCTAGGGTAACGGTTAAAATACATATATTGTACATATACACATATAATGTAAGTTTAATCATATAGAAATACCTATTAAACATCCATGACTGGAGTACAAATACTCGTATTCATCGCACAAAAATCTGCCCCCACCGGGATTCGAAGCCGGGACCTCTCGAGTCGGCGACACCTTTAAACCCGGCATACAAACCACTAGGCCACGGAGGTCGTCGTCAATAATACACAATATCAACCAAGAAAATGTGCGATAAAAATACTCATCAGTTGTTTGCATTTGCTTTATGACTCAACGTGATTACGTCGTCCACGGATTAGGTATATTTACTCCGTGACGTCACGGCACGTCACCGTAATGATATAAGTGAAGTGAAGCACCTAATGTGAATTGATCACTCACAGGGGTACGTCTCTCTACGGGTAGGGGTCGTACTCATCTTTTATCTATATAAAAGATTGCAGTTTCCAATTAAATTAGCCTGTAGTTTAACAAAGCGCAAAGGCAAACTTTAAAATATTGTAGCATCAACCTCAAAGAATCCCGCTTCTCTCACGGTCAGCTATATATAGCTTGCTCAAGAGCAGGAAATTCGGAAAAATTATATATATATATATATATATATATATATATATATATATATATATATATATATATATATCTATATACCCCGGACAATAAAATGAAAAAAATGTTGTTTATAAACAAGTAGTGTAAATAATGAGAAAATATTTTCATTTTTTTTTTTTATTTTACGTCATATTTTATTTTTTTATTTCAGCTACCACGTAATCTCATATCAACTCCCGAGCGAAGCCGGGTATCATAGCTAGTTTGTAAATAAAGTAACGTAACTCCATAATTTATATTTACGACAACAATTTTAATGAAGTTCTTAATTATAAAGTGTATTTTAATAGATCATAGAAGACTGAAATACAGGTACTATTTATACTGTAACCTAGATCAGGCATCACTTATTTTGTACTTTTTTTATTATTATTATTATAATGCAATGAAAGGTCAACATTGCATAATAATAATCGTAATAATAATAAAAAGTACAGAATAAAGGATGCCTGAACTAGGTTACAGTATAAATTGCACCCGTATTTGAGGCTTCTACTTTATGATTAAGAAATTAACAACTTAATTAAAATCGTTGTCTATCTTAGAACATAAATGTAAATTATAGAGTGACGTTAGTTTATTAACAAATAAAAAATAATTCTTCGGTTAGCTCGTTCATTAGTAGTGCCCCCAGACGGCCGCTCCAATTCGAGCGGGAAATCCGCTGTGCTCTATATCTACTTCTCTGCTAAAATCAAGTTGTTGGTAACGATCTTCATATATATGCCTACCTTTCATTTGAGTCCTGGTGATGCCCGTTGTCTCGTCGACGATGGACGCCTTTCGGTCGAGGTTAGTGTCAGCAGCCGGCTTTAGGAACGCTACCTGCCGCTGGCTGCTCATCCTCGAGTTCAGAGACCGGTCCAACATGCTGATAAATATAGACGAAGATATAGTGTCAGGTGCTTTATTAGGCGCTCATGCAGCCAGCAGTCAATTCCATCAGTCATGTAATGAGTGATAAAAAATCATTTTAAGCAAGCTTTACTTTTTAACGAAACTAACTAAAAAGGTAAAAATATTATATTGAAGTCTAATATGAAATATACCATTTTACATCATGTTATATCCCATTTTTATAAAAGCGCGTCACACCCTTTCTATTTATCGAGTCGACAAAACGTCTCTTTTATTAAAACACATGGTATATACTATACGTACCTATAAAATGGTATATTTCATATCAGACTTTTATTATTTATAACTCTTTACTTTCTTTTGTCAAAAAGTAATAAAAGCTTGTTTTAATAAATGAGGTTTCATTTATTTTTAACTTTTTAGTAGATATTTATGATTCGGAATTTACTACATTTCGCTTTCCCATAACCTTGTTTTCTTTGTGTGTGTCGATTTAACCATGTTGTTCCCACAAATATAAGTCATTAATGTTCCATCCCACGGAGAGGTCCAAATCTAATTGCATATGGATATTATCTAGGACCAAAGTACTCATCGAGGCTAATCAAACGAGCCCAAACCTGATACGGTTACGTCGTTTTAATTCGAAAATCCTATGGCCACCTTCCAGTTTCATCATCAGACCCTGTTTATCACATAGGATCAAAGTACTCGTCAAGACGAATCATACGAACCTACTTGATGCATTGTCACCAGAGTTACATAACTATGCCAATTTTCAGCTGAATCGGATAACAAGAAGCGGTCCAAGAATGGTTTACAAATTTTAAAGCTACATATAACATACGAACACTGCAAGTTAAATGAAACCTTTCTAAAAAATGATGGTGACTAAAAAGTCATCAGTCATCACACCGGAGGAGACGCGGCGAAGATACTGAGAAGTTAACAATTTCAGATAACGCCTAAGGGTGCGGCCAGAGTGCACTCAGATTCAGACACAGATTCAGATTTCGAAAACAAGCGCGAGAAATAAACAGTGTAGTCTAAGCAGGTTGTCTGCTTTTTCTCGCGCTTTGTTTTCTGAGTCTGAATCTGAATCTGAATCAGGAGTGCAATCTGGCCGTACCCTTCGACTACACTGTTTATTTCTCGCGTTTGTTTTCGAAATCTGAATCTGAATCTGAATCTGAGTGCACTCTGGCCGCACCCTAATTCCGATGCCACAAGCTTAAAATGTTCATAGCGAACATGAAACAACACACAAGCGGCGCACAGTGCTGCGAAGCGGCAACGACACCTCATTTTGACTTTTGTCTTATGGTGCAAATATTTTTTACCTAACCGGTACTCTAAGTGAACAGTTAAAGTAAGTTGGTGCACTCATGCTTAATCACTCTAATATGTAAATGCTCTTACCGGGATTCGAACTGTAAGTTCTTTGGAGCAAGAGGTTGGAGCGCTGCCGATGTGCCTATCGGTTTGTTCAAAAAAGCGCTGGCTGGTGACTTTATAAAATAAAACCCATTAAATAGCGCTTCTGCGGTTCGACTATGGGTGCTTGCAGTAGACCCAACTTTATAAAGCATTTGTATTACCTACTGCAACAAAGAATAAGGTGCGCGTTGCTCGTGGCACGTAGCTGGCGTTGTACCTTCTGGATATTGTATGACAATGTGTTGTGGCTAAGTTAGTAATACAACTCTTGAGAATACTTTGTTCGTTATCATTATTCCCCTTAGAGCAAGGCACCTAAATGCTTTAAGTTATTCCCCTACCACAAAGTGTTGACACGAGCTGATAAACGTTCATGAGAACGATCATTATTTGGTAATACAAAGTCTTAGCGCAAAACAGTTTGCGAACTGATTTTTTAAGCCATTTGAACCTAGGTTTAGATCTCAAAGATCTTCTATTACGGGCCGCTTAGGCGCCTAATTAGAAACATTTTAAAAAAGCATCCATTGCTCGTTCTTTTTTTTTTAACTGGCTTTCTTTCTTGGCTTTTTCTATTATTTTGGCGGCAATTCAAAATTTCATCTGAATATTATTTTGTTCAAAATGGGCAAAAATAAAAGTTGTGACGCGTCAACTAGGCAAATAATTGTAAATTTACATTATATAGATCATAAGTGGTACAGAAATTAAGTTATTTCGCCTGATGACCCGAGAAACATCTCGACAAAAATGATACGCCGAAGATTTGTGGAAACTAAATTGTTTGGAAGAATCGCTCGAAAGTGACCGCTTCTTACCAAGCAACACCGAGAGAAGCGATTATTATTCGCTAAAAAACATGTTAATTGGTCGCTACTAAAATGGAAAAAAGTGTTATTTTCAAATGAAACAAAAATAAATATAGTAAGTTCCGATAGAAAGCGCTATGTTAGACGTCCTGTAAACATATTTTTAATTATAAATACCCAAAAGTATAGTCAAGCACGATGGCGGTAACATTAAAGTTTGGGGGTGTTTTTCCGGATGTGGAGTTGGATCCATTCGGAAGTTTGAAGGTACAAATTTCTTAGAGCCCACAATGATTCCCTACTCGGACGATCAATACGATACGATCGATACGACAATGGTCCTAAACACACGGCCAATAGCATCAAATGTTTCCATAGCGAACAGCGTATATCCGTTTAGGCTGGCCAGCAAATAGTCCAGATTGAATGACATTTCGGACTCGCAAACAATTCCAATTCGATATTGGTTCGTGCTAAGGGTACAGAACATATCCTATCTCAACGATTGTTAGGACAAATTATTGAGAATATCGCAAGTAGCAAATTCATCATATAGTATTACTAGTTATTCGTCATCATCATCAGCTTATTCATGTCCCCACTGCGGGAGGCGGGGCCCAGTGCTAATAACTGCCGATGCAACAAGGACCAACGGCTCAACGTGCCTTCCAAAGCACGGAGGAGCTCTAGATAATATGTTTTGGTCACTCATCCGATGACCGACCATTGCGAAAGTGGCTGGACTTTCACGATCGCAGGCCGAATGCGCTAACCACCTGCTCATCGAGCTCCTTGCAAGCTACATAAAAAATATGGATGAAAGATAAGAATTGTATTAGGTAGCAGTAATGGGTTTCTAAAAATAAGTAAATCCATTATTAAACTTCCATTCAGTGAAAATAACTTTTCGTTTGGGAAAATCTAAATTTAAACACTGCGAAATTTGTAGCTTTCGTCTTGAATAAATAAGATTCCATCCTCGGCAGTACCTACCAACATTTCCATTTGTTTCAACGCTATAGACAATTTATCATTTCAACACTTAACAGACTTTATGGCCCTTTAGGATTCCGAACCTCAATCATCAATATCGGAACCCTTATAGGATCACGTCTGCTTGTCACAGTCGATTTTCTAGAAATCTGCTGGACCGATAAATACATGTATGCCTGTGACCCAAACACGAACGAATATTTTTATTAGGGTTTCGAGTCCACAAAGAACCCTTAAGTTTCACTATGTCATCCGTCTGTCCGTCGGTCTGCAAGCACTAAAACCATTTGAAATGTTTTATTTTAATCTTAATTAGTTTATAAACTAAAAACATAACTGACAGCTGTGAGTTTGTTTGGTCTTAAAAGTATTTTCCTATATTAACATAAGGAAGTCTCATAAAAACATTCATCGGTCTCCAATCGATCAAAGAGAAAGCAAAGGCATGACGCGAATAGCAATTTTTCCATTTTACGCGCGGAAAATTCCAACGCTTTTCACTATCAAGAGACGCCACGCGCCGCTTCTGAACTGAAGGAGACACACATCAAAGCCCGATTATGAAATAATAGCTTCGTTGTTTTTTTCAATAGGGAAAAATGTTAATACGTTTGTAAAATTGTAATCATTCTTTTTTTAAATAGTATTAATGCACGCAATGAAATTACGAGTCTGTTTATTTTTTTTTTATTGTAAAAGAAAATTTGCTAAACTCCTAGATCTCAAAATAGATCACCTCACCAGCATGGTTTCCTGGCTAATAGATCAACAGTAAGCAACCATGTGGAATATAAATAAATCTTATTTGTGTTCTGCTTTTGCCAAAAGGTGGCAAGTGGATTCCATATATACTGACTTTTCGAAGGCTTTTGATAAGGTTTGCCTACTTTGTCAGAAGTTAGAGAGGTATAGAGTACATGGCACCCTGTTAAGACGGCTGATATCGTATCTGGATAAAAGGAGTCAGCTTGTAATTATGCAGGAACATCTCTTGTCCTGTACTTCAGTTACTTCAGGCGTTCCACAAGGCTCCCACTTAGCGCCTTTGCTTTTATGGTTTTTATCAATGATTTAGCGGAAAGTCTTACTTGTCCTTGCTTGTTATATGCGGACGACCTCAAAATATTTTATACCATACAAGATATCCAAGATTGCCTTAAGCTGCAGCACAATCTGGATGTAGTAAATAGATGGTGCTCCGATAACCATATGTTTTTCAACTCTAGCAAGTGTTATGTTATATCCTTTGGTTCTATTAAAAACAAACTCGTTTTTGATAACCATATCGATGGTTCTACACTACAACGTACACCTTTTATTAGGGATGTTGGTGTATATTTCGATGAGGGTCTTACGTTTCGTCCACACTACGACTATTTAATTTCCCATTGTCATCAACTCCTTGATTTTACTTCACGTTACACTAAAGAATTCACCAATCGGTCAACTCTGTTATACCTATATTTCTCATTAGTGAGAAGCAAACTAGAATATGCCTCAGTCATTTGGTCTCCTCATTACAATGTACACACTGAGCGTATAGAAGGAGTTCAAAGAAAGATTCTCAATGTTCTCAGTTTCAGGCTTAATTTAGGCCGAAAATATATTTTTTACAAAATGAAATTATAAAAAAGGTTTAAAATTTCTTCCCTTGAATCCCGGCGCAAATATCACCAGTTAATTTACCATTTATTTTTTTCATTTAACAGAATGTGTCAGGCAGTATTAATTTCAAATTGTTTACAATATTATCTACAACATACGTAATAATCAGTACCCAGACTGTAAGTAAAACGAGTAAAATTTTTACATGCCTGTACCACCTGATTCGTGAAAAATGGCCCACAGCACAATTTACCGAGTATGTATACGTTCGTTGTACACACTAATACTACTCGATAATCCATATTTCGACCTTGAGAAAATAAGAGAGGTCTGGCAGTCTTGGGATCCTGTACTATACATATTCAGAGTTACAGTTTGGTTTTATAATATTGTAATTGTAACTTGTATTGTAAGCTAATAAATAAAAAAAAATGTACTTCACTTTTCATACCTCTCGGTGATCGCGCGCGCTAGGATTTGCAATTTTGATTTGTGCACATAAAAAAACATGATAGTGCTAGACGTACGTATTTGATTTAATGCTACGGGGCGAATGCTTGCTCATACATTGAGAATGAAACAGGAAAAATGGAAAATATTTTGTGCGTAGATATTTGGATATGCAGCAAGCTCTAAGAGCAGGATATACCTTGTAAATAAGCACAACTCCTTTAAAAAAAAACCGGCCAAGTGCGAGTCGGACTCGCGCACCGAGGGTTCCGTACAAACCTGTAGGTATATTTTAATAATTATATAAAAATATTTTTTATTATATGATGTTACTAAAAATTTACGGTTTTCGCATTTTTTCCTTCATCTGTACTATAAGACGTCACTGTACCAAATTTCAAGATTCTAAGTTCACGGGAAGTGCCCTGTAGGTTTTGATTCCTAGAGTTTTGAAAATTTGCCGCAATTTGCAGCATAAACGGCTGTATCTTTTGATTGCTTTGGCTTAGAAGTTTGATTTTTTAACAGCTCCAAGGGACAGTAGAACTGAGTATTAGATATGAATTTCACTTTGTTACCTCCACGCGTTTCTGAGAAAAACGGTCTTGACAGACGGACGGACAACAAAGTGATCCTATAAGGGTTCCGTTTTTTCCTTTTGAGGTACGGAACCCTAAAAATATGTAAAATATGGAATATTCATCGATAAATCGACGATATTATTATTAATTAGTATCATTCTTCGACCCAAGTCCTAGTGGCAGCTAACTATCGGACCTTTTTATTCAAAAGTGTTTTTTGTTTTTCATAAGACTCCAAAGCACCAAGGTACCTTTGGCTGTAAACTTGGGGTTAAGGCAAGAATTACCCGAATTAATTAATGGAAGCAGCCTGCCCCGCACCTGTGCTCTTGGGAAAGAGCCCGTTGCCCTTATATTAAAGCTCGTGTTAACACGAATGAGAAATACCTGGTATTAAAGCCAAGGTCTTCAATCCTTCTTGTGTTACATATAATAAAATAGTGACTATACATTTCCAAATGTATTTATTTGACTATAATTATTTGAAATTGCGAGTATTTTTTCACAAAAGTATGGGTAGTCATGCTCTCTTAATATTCTCTTCGGCGGTGTCGTGTGAGTCGAGTCGTTACGTTCCCTAAAGTATGGTTGAGCGAAGCGAAGGCTGGTTCATGCGTCATGCTCGTGAACGGGTGCTACCAGCGGAGATGAGTCTGCCCTATCTTCCTTAATAGTGAAGTTAATGTTTAGTCACACTTAATATATATAATACTATTTGTATTTATAGTGTATGACACAGCAATCAAAATGCAGGTAAACAATTAATGTATATTTAATCATTATGTAATGAAAGGTGTCGAAATTTAGGAACTTTTTGAGTGAAAAAAGCGGGTTTCTTTCATCGAAAGCGGGACATGGTAAAAAAAACGTGTATGTATAATCAAAGTTAGTGAAAAGGATATTGCTCATTCCCCATACATTGAATGCCCCAGAACGCACAGTAATGAGAAAATGTTAGTTGTGCTCGGAATCCTTCATAAACTCTAGTTAGGCATTTGTTGAGATACGGACAACTTGAGGAACCATGGCCTACTACAGAATGTATTAGATTTTGAGGTTATAATTATTATACTTAATTAAGTACACTTTATATATTCTGAATAGATTTAGTGTTTACCTCTATGTAAGCACTTAAATAATATGCATTAAATGAACTTAAAATGCAATTAATAGTAAAAATAATAAATGCTTATATATTCATATTGATTTATGAGTGTTGGCAGTTGGTACCTATGATACCTATATCTACCTGTTATAATAATAGATTTCTTTTCAAATGGAATGTTCAAAGGCTTTCCATTTACCTGTTTCTATATTTTATTATCAGTAATTAGGTATGTACCCGTTTATCATTATGATTTTCTTAAAAATAAACAGATAATACATATATGGGATGGGAGTATAAACTACCTTTACATAATTTCAGAAATTATCTATTTATAAATAGAATACAAATTATAGTGATAAGTATTATTAACTAAGGTACCTAGTTCTATTCTTATGTTGATAAATACCTATGGTCGCCTATATAACATTTATTAAGGCTATCTATTAAAAATGGAAAAGAATTGAATTAAAATAAAACAATTGTATTTGAAATCATTTTATGAACCTCATTGGCGGAAGCTTTTGAATTTAGATGAGACAGTCTCTTAAGGTTCTAAAGATGACATGACAGCAATTTGTGTACAGTCTGTTCATCCTAACTTGTTCTATTTGGGTAACAATCTTCGCACAACTTTTTAACAAAATCACGCATTTAAAAATAAAATAATAACGAAGCCAATAAACTATTAAAATAAATCGTTATCACTGAAACCTATTGAATCTAGTTATCAGTTGATTTTTAATTCTGTATTTTTTTAATAAAAAGGAGTGCCAAGATTGTTTACCAAATAGGACAAGTTAGGATGAACAGTCTGTAGTATGTAGTAACAGAACTTATATTTTTTTAAACAGATGTCCGTTTACTATGATTAATTGCTTATATATTAAAAAAAAAATTAAAACTATCATAGTTTTCGTAATTGTAAAACTCGTACTAAGGTTACTACTGTACGCTGCACGCACGGTCGAGTTATTCGCGAAAAGTGGAATTAAGCCAGTTCCGCGTGGGACATTAAATTTTGATTTAAAAATCGGGACGTCTCGCCATTATGCAAGATGAATGTTATAGAAAGAAAGAACAAATACTGACCTCTCCGAAGGGCTTATGGCTAGATAGGGTGGTTCTTTACTGCCCGGCCGGGAGGAGTCGTCGGGAGGGCCTGGCTCACCGCCGCTATTGCTCGTTTGTCGAGTCTGCGTCAAACAATATAAATTCTATCATCTGTGCTGCGGGTAATGGAGACGACCAAATATTTTGCAAATAATCAAAGAGTCGAAGTAACAGAAAATTTCGTTTTTCATAAAAAAATCATAATTTTTACAATTTTTTTACTATTTTAATTTGGTCGTCCTCATTGATTGGGTTGGGCATAGGGTTACCATTTAGAAACTTCAAAAATTCTGATATTTCGAAAAAAACCGTACTTTTTAGTCACAAAATGGTACTGTTACTCACTTAGTTACAATGCCATACCATTGTTTAAATCAATATGTACTTTTATTGTTCAATGTAATTTAAAAAATCTAAAAAGAATCGAAAAAAAAATTCCGGACTATAGTCTAAAGTCCGGACATGTCCGGACTAATTCGGATGTATGGTAACCCTAGTTGGGCATTTTATATCTTAATGTCAGAAGCATGGTCTTTGTGTAACCCAAGGGGATCTGTGGACCCGTAAGCAGTATATGCACAAAATAGATAGAACAAAAGGTAGTCACATGTTTGTAGGTCACTTTTCATACCTATGCTCGGATTTTTCAACACAAAAAACGTAGTAGAAGCTCGTACGTATCTATTTGTTTGATTTATTCTTGCGAATGAATGTATGCGGTGCTCCAGCGCAGTTTGTGTAGAGATTAACTTCTGTACTATCTATTTTATGGTATACATATATCAGGGGTCTGGTCCGCAGCTGTACCTCAACTACGCTAGAACAACATTACCCCTGACATTGAATTAAGGATAATTGTCGCCGCACACGGGCCACCGACCACAACCACAAAACGCCGCCACCGGCATATTTCTTGTAGTTTTGATACATTTTATATGGACTCGCCACACACGGTACGCCGGTGGCCGCCACACGCAGCATATCGTCGTTGCTCGCTTCTTGTGGCCCGCACCGGCCACTTAATGCGCCGATACAAAACGCCGCCATACGTCACTGGCGCGATTCCCCACCCCCCTCCCTTACCTTAGTCGGCTGCTGTCGCGCTTTTCAGCCACTTTAGTAGCCGCTTCTAGCTACTCGTGGCGGCGTTTGTGGCTGTGGCGTGTGGCCCGTGTGCGGCGACACTAAGTGTCGCCTGGTCTGGCTGAAGCGCGGGTCAGCGGCCGTCTAAGGTAAGGGAGAGAGGGGTGGGGAATCGCGCGAGTGACCTGTGGCGGCGGGCGTTTTGTATCGGAGCATTAAGTGGCCGGTGCGGGCCACAAGAAGCGAGCAACGACGATTTGTAGCGTGTGGCGGCCACCGGCATACCGTGTGTGGCGAGTCCATATAAAATGTATGAAAACTACAAGAAATATGCCGGTGGTGGCGTTTTGTGGTTGTGGTCGGTGGCCCGTGTGCGGCGATACTAATTAGTAGAGATGACTTCTAATATACCTGCTTAAGTGATGTTTTTATAAAACGTTTGTTTTCTTTCCCTAAAACATTTAAAAGTGGCTCAGCCTCTTTTTTCGACGAGAATTTTGTTTATTCCTAGGTGCATTAATATAAGCGAAGTGTTTAGCATACATACCATGATGCCTTTGAGCTGATTCACCAGAGGCGAATCAGCGAAGAAGTTGTTCACCGCGGTGAATATGTTGGCTCGCTTGCTCGTCTCGCCGGCGCAGGCGCTCTCACGCCCGCACAGTTGTGCTGCAACAAAACCAACTCTTACAGCCCTATTCAGAAGTCAAGTTAATTTAATGCTTTATTGATTCAGTCACGTGTTGTTTCTTTCTATTGTTATTTTACCCTTTCAATTACATTCTTAAGTTTCGTCAACCGGCAAACTCACAAACTCTTTCCTTCGTCTAACAAGGCTAATGTTCCAATAGTAGAGAAGCCTAAGCGAGGATATTGAGATTTACTCGAATGTGGCAGATAAAATATAAGGAGTAGGGCAACCTAGCACCTTCTGAAGTACTCCCAATTCAGAAGACCAGAGCAACTGTATGCAACCCATGCTATTTTAAACCAATTTATAAATATATTGTAAATACTATAGATAAGATATAGAATAAGACAAAACGAATATGTTTTTTTTTGTTATTTTTATTCTATTATATTTACTTTCTTTCTTTCTATCGCTGTCAAAGTCAAAATTTAAGTTGGCAGGAATTTGTTTCACGCATCTCTCGTTTGTATTTTATTTAAGTTTGTATTTGTACTATGTGTTCGGCTTTATGGACTTGTATCCTGGCTATGTCTATGCTAATAAAAAAAAATACGAATAAAAATAAAAAAAAATGAAATACTCCCAGCATACCTGAACCCTTTCTATAGGGTCGAAAGTCTAGCCAACAAAAAATTTTTTCAACAATCAGTGCTGACTTTTGGACTTTTCGTCCAAATGGTCAGTGTTTTGAATAGAAACTAGGAGGAGGGTTTAGGTAAAGTCATTAGGTAAGTATTTAATGTACGCCTACAAAACTTCGAACCAGCATTCAGGTCTTGTATTATTTTACAATAACAAGTATTCATTCAACTTTCAGTAAACGAAATACAACACGAATATAGTTTCTTTTATTTATACATATTGCAGTTTTCATGTGTAATAGAAGCACAATTATATTTATCAACCCTTAAATATCGATACTCACAAAAGAAGTTCTTCATTACCCTTCAAGGATTCTATCTTATGTCGCAAAAAAATAGCAGAGGGAGTTGGTCCTCCCACACCGAGCACGTCTTACATTTGGCCGTAAGTTATTGAAACTGAATTATATGCAAAGACGTTTAACACCAAAAAAAACGCCCTGATATGTTATATGTTACTCCGAAAATAGTTTTTCAGTAAACTCGCAGAAACAGAACCGTCGAACCTTCAACACTCAATTGAATTCCGTTTTATTCACTGATGAATTACTAATAAACACCTCTCTGTTTTGATATTTATTAGTAGTAGTGAATCAGAAGAATAATATTTACTTTATAAACGCTTTAGTTTTACATTGAGTACTGTAACATCTCTTAACTTTCTTTTATTGACGTTATTTATAATTGTTTTAATATTAGGCTTTAACATCCAACTTGATATGTAAAGTTTATAATTATATTCTATTTTATTTAAAGTACTAAATGTGTCCTCGACTTCGTTCGCGTGTATATCTACAGATTCAAACTGTTATTATAGTAAATGTAATCGCACAGTTCATAATAACATTCATTAGGCGACAAACTTTGTCTTCTGTGAAAATTAGTTTTTGTAATAAAAGCTATCAAAACGTGGGTTGGCTTGGGACAAGCATCGCACGCAAATAAAATTGAAAAGGGAAGGAACATTTTGTTTTCGTGTTGCAGCTTTCATTTATTGTGACGGCTCTGCTTCTACGAAAAATATAAAACTTTGGCATCAAGCTTATTCCGTAGTCCTGACAAGGAACCCTTAAAGTTTCGTAATGTCCGTCTATCCGTCCCCGGTTTTTCTTGGAGACTAGCAGCACTAGAGAGCTGTAATTTTATGGAGATATATATATCGATCACACCAACAAATGGTGGAATAAAGACCTGCACCACCGGCGCCGCTTATCCCCAACAAAAATCGCAACCTTCCCTCCGCAACTCTCACTTAATCCGAGGGCGCCTCCAATGGTTTAACCAGGATGGAATGAATACCATCACGTAGCACCAAATATGAATTTGACGCAGTGATGGTGGCCCGGATCATCCACTCTGGCCTAGTGTCGGACCGGATGAATCGCTGGTTGGCGACCTATGTCGTCGGGCGCCTCTGGCACTGGTGTTACGCGAAAAGAAGACAACGCCGGCGGTTATACCGCATCATCATCTTCTCAAGGGATGATCGCTTCAGATGAAGCTTTTAGTCAGTAAGAGTCTGACATAACCTTGCAGCCGGCTGTAGGATATCCATGAGGATTTCACAACCACTCCCCCGCTAGGGAGGAAACAAAAAAAAAATAGGCGGTTCATCCGTAAAAAAAATCATCGAATTGATTTTGAGTTTAAGACGCAGTTTGACTTTAATTTAGGTATTTTAATTGAGACACATAGATTGAAATGAATTGGTTTTTCTAATTTCCGATATAAAAAATAAAGACTCCTGCTCAAATACATTGTGGTAACTACAGGCAACTACGGAACTCTACACTGCACGTGGCACGATACGACACGCACTTGGCCACTTTTAAACATTTTGCGCTAAGTATGTAAAATATAAACTATTTATTTTAAAATTTGTTTCAATGTGATTGGACCTCCGATTAAAAAAATGAATTGGATACTATAATGTACACTCAGCCACATATCATGTTACCACAAAGTGTCAAATATTCTCAAACGCTAGTCCTTTTTATTACCCGGCTGCGCAATGCAAGAGCGCGAAACGCGACGCGCAGACAGGGTTATGTGTTTAACAGTCTATATATGTATGTTTGTTCCTTTGTGGCACACTAGAGACCAAACGCCTGGACCGAGTTTGATGATTCATACATCAATCGATTCGTCTCAATCATGGGAGTGCTACTAAAGATATGATAGTAATCAAAATTCAATTTACGAAGTAAAAAAAAAAGTTGACAAAATATGTCGAGTGGGGTATCACTGTCAAGATAATCAAAAATCATATTTAGGTTCCTAACACCATTTTTCATTTTATATGATTGTTTAGGATTTACAACGCTTTAAAGTTGTATATTAACCACTTACGCTTTTAATTTCAATCTTACGTTTGTATGGATCTTTGTTACTCTTTCACCTAAAAAAATACTGAATGGATTTTAATGAAACTTTACAGTAATATAGCTCATATATGATAATTACATATATATAATAATTTATGTAGTTATTGAGTGAATTATATATATATAGCAATAAGTGTCACATAAGACGGAAAAAAATGTCCCATCTGCGAGCCATTTTGGCCTGCACTGCAAAAACAATAAAAGTTACATGAATGTAATGTAGAGTGAAAATGTATCTCTTAAATAGTTCTAAAAGAAAGTCCGTGGCATCATATATCTATTTTTAATGTGTAAGTCATTACCGCTAAAATAGTGAATCAAAACTAAAATATTATTTGATATCTATTTCCAAAATGCACATTTTGTATTAACAAATCATTTTTTATCAAAAAAAACACTTTAATCGCTTTTGATATTTAAAGACGATAAACTTTGCTTTTTACACTATGTCATTTCGACAAATATTTAAAAAGTTACAACGATGACAAAGTGATAGCGCGGTGTACTATGTAAAAGAAAAAAAAATGGGGTATTCGCAGTATCCGATCCTATACGAAGTACTAACATTAAAACTGTGATACAGTTCCTTCTTATTAAATGATGAAAAGTATATTATCATAATAGGTATTTATGATTTTTGAATTTTAATGAAAAACTCAGAATTTTACTGATTTTCATTTTTTTAACGATATTACTTAAGGTTACAAAAAAGGTTTACTTAATATAATGACAAATAACCCATTTTTCGCACTAGTATGTACTTACTAAAGTACATACTTATTGGAATCCCTGTATTTATTAATCAGCTCGCGATAATATTGGTTTTGTAATAATTCTGCAAAATTCAAAGTAAATAATGTAGATTTTTTTTTGGTAAATCACCCCTTTCATCACCCTACGCCTATAAGTATTGCGATGTTGTAGCTAAGAACCAAGTTCCCATCTACTTCTATATGGGAATTCATTATATTCGATTTAGCTATAAGGGCACGGAAGCGCAACAAACAAACTCACTTTCGCATCTATAATATTATATTATACTTACTAGTGATCCACCCGGGCATTGTCCGGGCGAAATTTATTTATCGGGATATAATATAGCCTATGTCACTCGGACAAAATGTATTTAAATAAAGAAAAATGTTATAATAAATAATGTAGCTACCTTATGATGAATTAATATTTGAAACCGGTTCAGTAGTTTGACAGATTATTTGTTACAAACATACAAATCTTGCCTCTTTATAATATTAGTATAGATAGTTAGGATAAGATAAGTAATTAATTGATAAAAAAGATTTAAAAATAAAGTAAGTAATAGGTTTATTTGATTATATTTGTAAAAGTTACTTAGCATTTGTGCTTAACAGTGATACGTTATTCGGTAGTTTTATAACAAAAAAAAAATTGGAAAATAATTGCCATGACTGCACTACTGGGAGTACTCTTCATTCGAGCTTTACACTTCCAATAAAGAAAGGGTCGAACATAAAGTCTTTGACCTGTTAAATGTGAACGCTTTAAAAAAAAACTACAAAGAGAACTATAAATTGATAATAAATGAGATTGCTATGGTGCTCTACCTAACGTTATGAAAATTTTATTATGCGCCTTTAGTTTAATCAAATATTATAAACTTTGCTTTGGTGATTGCATAATTATTTAATTTAGTGATCTAAGGCAGTTGCCACCATTGTCCAATCCACAGGCGGGAATTACTTCTTTCTTCAACCTGCGACATAAACGTCATTGATTGGTATGGTATATAGGGTGATTAAAACCTTTGAAATTAACTTCTGGCATCTACATATTGGGTTTCTGTGAATTATGTAGGTATATCAAATTATGAGACTAGGGACTGACACTGAATTTGTGTATATCACAATCTTAGACGTCCGGCATTGACATGACAATGCAGTCACTGCCAATTTTAAATAGTCGACGAATAAAAGTAAATGAATTTTATATTTACTGCTAAACTATTAAAAAAACATAAACAAAAGATGACTTTTTGAGTAAGTGCTAGTTTACTATAAAATTTACATACATTAGAGATATTTATGTAACGACTTAATTTAACTACACACATTTTTGCGAAAATTGAGGCCCATCTGTAGCCTTGACCCCGCTGGTAAAGTCTTTATATTATGTCTTAATAAATCAATCTTTTAGACCGACGCAAGGTACTTAATAATTCCCGCGATATTAATTCCCTTACTGAAGTAACAAGACTACGGTATATACCGTCCTAAAATACTAACTAAAAAGTGTGAAATAAAAAATATAAATTTAAAAAATCAAAAAACCCGACTGCTTAATTATTCTTCATATAAACACTGAAAAGAAAAAAACAAGTCCAGTAGTCTATAATTCTGTTAATAAGGAACAAAGCTACTATAACAGTCGGGACCCACTGTTGAAAAATATTATGTATTCTTGAATATCTAATGGGTCCCGACTGTTAAAGTAGCTTTGTTGCTTATTAACAGAATTATAGACTACTGGACTTGTTTTTTACCCGTCTGCGCAATGCAAGAGCGCGAAACGCGACGCGCAGACAGGGTTATGTGTTTAACAGTCTATATATGTATGTTTGTTCCTTTGTGGCACACTAGAGACCAAACGCCTGGACCGAGTATGATGATTCATACATCAATCGATTCGTCTCAATCATGGGAGTGCTACTAAAGATATGATAGTAATCAAAATTCAATATGGGCAAAATTAGGCGTCATATTGTAACGAAGTAAAAAAAAAAGTTGACAAAATATGTCGAGTGGGGTATCACTGTCTAGATAATCAAAAATCATATTTAGGTTCCTAACACCATTTTTATTTTATATGATTGTTTAGGATCTAGAACGCTTTAAAGTTGTATATTAACCACTTACGCTTTTAATTTCAATCTTACGTTTGTATGGATCTTTGTTACTCTTTCATCTAAAAAAATAATGAATGGATTTTTTTCTTTTCAGTTTTTATTTGAAGAATAATTAAGCAGTCGGGTTTTCTGATTCTTTAAATTTACCTTTTTTTTTCAAACAACATAAAACTCTAGTCAGATGGAGATTACTCCATCTGACTAGAGTGCAATTATGCTAAGTTTTGGATAACTTAATCTGTGACTTTCCGTACAAGCGTAGGTA